AAGACAAACATGTCACACCCATCAAGGCAATAGATACACATGGTTAAAATTTCAATTTCTTTAGAATCAGAGGGATCTTTCTTACTTACAAAAGATTGTGTTCAATTCGCGGTTGATACCATTTAAAATCCCGCTCTTACAAGTACCTAATAAAGTAATAAGGGGGATGTTAATTAGGAAAATGAGGTGTGAAAATATTATACTACTATGCGGTTGTGAAGCCAGGGTTGCATTTTTTTTGTATTGCTTTGATGAATGGATGACCTTACGGCCCACCTCGTATAAGTCACCGTGGTTCTTTCGACGATGATACGCGCTTCACCTACAAGAAACATTAATTTAATATTCCAAGAAATATACAATAAATAGTAACGCCAATAGTGTCACACCTAAACCAATTATGGCTCTAAATAAATCTTTCACACTAATTTAAGAGAGTACGTAACACAAAGGTCGCCGGTGGCTACAGCTTTTTCGCAATAACAAAAACTAGTAGCGGTCTATCAAACAATTTACTTTATACGATGAGGACTCGTTCCTACCAATTACCTATTGTTAGTGGTGGAACAGACGCCAGAGCTCTGGATAAAAGGCAATTTATACACGCCACTCATTTCATTACACAGAGATAAGGGTCTTGTGAATATTTGCGTTCAATTACGTGCCTTTATATTTTGTTGCATGCTGACATCAAGTGGGAATGGCGAGAAATAAAACCAAGCGAGAATATTATACGGCTACTCTGCCTACTTAAACCCTGAAAGTTGAGCGGCTAACATAGCCTGTTATACGTGCCCATATGGTTTGTATTACTTTTGCGGTCAACTCAACACTGCAAAGTATCAACCATCAAAAGAATAAAATAGCGAAGATACTAAGCGAGTTGTTGTTAATTTTTCTTTGGAAATGTCTGCCCTACTTGTCAAACGGATAATTGAAAAGTTGAACGAGACCTCCTTGACGTAAGCCTCTGGCACTGGTGTAATTCACTCCAATTAGCGGATAGCCACGGAGAATGGGGATGTTCAAAGCCGTCTTGAAAGGCTAAGACGAGTTCCAATAACTGAGTTATCGATGCGATGTCCTCGGGCTAGAGCGGGGAAGTCTGAAGCGGGTAATCCGCTTTGGTCCCAACAGTCACAACTTCGCCGATACCACTCGAAACACTCAATTTTAAACTTGCACGCCGCGACAAAAGAGTAAGTAATAAGATCCATTGTTGTGCAACTTTACAACTTGCTCTAGCTGTTATTTAGTTTTGTGTATTTGAAATACAAATTAATGACTTCATTCCTAGAGAGTTCGTTAGTTAATTCTTTATTTAAAGCCCATTTGTATTCCATATTTTTTAAAACCGTACTAATGGGTTTTAGTTTCCTGGGCATAATCCATTTTTCCTGAAGTTGCGTGCTACCAAGGATTAAAGTAACTACACTAGTAACGATGAAGAAGTTTGCTTTGAAGCGAAACTGAATTTTAATTCTACATTAGTGCAGTATAGCACTGTAGCAGAGTTGCCAAACAAAGCAATAAGTAAGAAGGGTCAGTAATAGTAAAATGTAAAAAAATAATTAAAACTACAAAATCCTTAGATGACACCTACATACTTTCTGTGTGTGTGAAATTGTATATGAAAGAAACATTGAAAGATGTTAAAATCCCGTTCAGAATGAGCCAAAGAACCTTTTACCTATATACGAGTGTGGGGGTAGTTGTCAAATAACGAAACATATTTGCTTAAAAACGAATGAGAAGGAACGCGATTTTCATGAAGGCGTGCGAGAAAGACAGCGTTCTGTTCCCACTGCCCTACTCTTTCTCAAACACATAATTATGTACAACACACATATTTCAACTTCTTCATCTTTATACAACCAATTTCAATCGTACGCTTAAAGTTTCCTTTTAATATTAGTAATTGTTACGTTTGAAATAATATGCGTAATAAAACATATGAAACACCATCATTATACTAAGATTATACTAGCATTGAGCAAAGTTGGCGCATTATCTATAAGTCTTCCGTTCCGTGGACTTTGCAAACTACCTACGATTGCTGCATTATTTTACTGCATCCTGCATTTTCAATAAACGTTATCGAAATAACTTATATTATATGATATTATTTATGATGTATTTATCGATATCTTATTGATTATAATTTTTATTTATTTATTTAAACTGGAAAATATTAAAAAAAGGATTGATGTTAGCTTTTTTTTTTACAAAGTAATACATTGTCGTTAGTGACGGTATCTACTACACAAGCTACCAGTAGCTAGGCCTCTAAAACCTCACGATTCGCGGCGAATCTAGAACATGTACTTTCTGCACCAGGCCCTTAAGGTACCTACTTCGTAACAAAATGATGCCCTTTAAAACATTTTTACGTTCCGTTATAGCCTATGGAAGTGTAGTGTTCACTTACACGGCCCGTACATACATTAACTCTCTCCAGGTCTCTACCGTTTTTGCAAAATAGCCATCGGATCACTCTAGTATGTGAGGAATGTAGATCTTCACGACAATTTTCAATTAGAATCGGTTCGTAAGTATTTGAATACAACGTCAGAACGCTTTTTCGAAAAAGTGGTACCACACGGTAACTCTGTTATCGTGGCCGTTTCTAATTGAATTTGCAATTTCGAAAAGGGCACATGTCGCATATTTTGTCAAATACGTTTTTTTCATATACATGTAGTTTTGAGGCTTACCTACACCCATTTTATAATAATTCCAGTAATTTTCAATCGCTACTTAGCACTAAAATATATCTCAAAAGTCTATATTTAAAATTTTACACTGCTTTAGAAAATAATCAGTTTTTTTTCATTTCCTGAACATTTTACATTTTCAGAAATGTGCCTTTTTCGAAATTGCATATTCAATTACATAACAGACCAGACGTCTGGGCAACGCAAAGCCGCTGACGTCCTAAGCATGTCTTATCAGATCCTCTCAATCTACTGCTTTTAGGCATTCCCAGTACCTGTTACCGTTCTCGTCGAAATCATAGACGCAATCCATTAAGTTTCTCGCCAGATCTTCTTAGTGTGTCGCGATTCGGATAAGGTGGTAGATTCAAAGAAGCACTGCTCTTCATAGGGCAATGTACTTTCTTTATTGCCCGTGTAGGCAAACGAGCATACGGCCCACTTGCTGGTGAATTGTTACCGTTGCTCGTGGACGTCAGCAATGCCAGGGGCAGAGCCAAACCGCTGCCTACCGTTTAATACTTTCCACAAGCCTCGTTAACAAGTGTTAGTAAATTCTCTCAAGTTCAACCCTTGACCCTTAGACTAACAGCGGTTAGGAAGGGATAAAAAAAAGGGTTAATCGAAACTTTTCGCTATAAAAGCGTACATTGACACAACTATCGGAACAATGGTGATTGAATCAACATGCTACATGCGGTAGTCTCATGGGGCAGGTCTAAATGATATTATATTATTAAGTACAATGCGTTCAGGTTCATAACACACTTGATATTAATCATATACTGTGGCCTATAAACGACGTGATTTGAAAAAAAAACATCTAATTAAACTAAAAGATTTATTTGAAAATTTAAAGTGGATATTCAAAGCTTCGTTGTACTTTGATTACAATGTAACCCTTATTTTGTTTATTCAGGGTTAATGACACCGCACAACGCACAGTAATTATTATTGACCATAGTGATGTCGTTTTCACGAATACGTTACAAGGTTTACACAATCTAGCGTAACCTTCGATGAACAATAGTTCTAGATCGTAGGGCTAAATACTCAAAAATATTCATTTCGATTCATGTAAAATTATATTTACTTTTATTGCCAACTTAATACATACCTAATTGCCAAAAACAGCTGCTTTGTCAATTTTTAATATACTAGAGGTCCCGCAGTAGTCGAAATTCGACTATAATTAACAAACAAAAGTTTGACAATAGTAAATAGTATGCATGCGTGTGTGCGTCAAATAAATGGTGTGTAATGTGTATGTAATGTTTTCTTTATTGATTTAACGTATCTTTTATGCATTATTTTAAAAAAATATTAGCGTTGTGCACTTCTTCTCTATATTCTCTATATGTGTGGAAAATTTCATACTCCTCCGTCTGCGCAATTTTCGTAAAAAGGGATACAAAGTTTTTGCTTCACGTATTAATATATAGATATCTATCACAGACATCTATCTATCTATAGATATCATAATATGATTTGCATTTTTCGAAATGGTCATTTTTGATGGTACCCTTTTCTTAGATACTATATTGGGACGTCTATTGCAAAAAACAAAAAAAAACTTTATATATCTAAAAAAAACATCTAGTTTTCAAGAGCACCTGTTTTTTAATGACTATGAAATCCTTATTAGAAATATTTGTTTACACTGTGCGGAAAAATGCTATTAATGCTTAATTAATACCGACTGCAAAAGGGGTGAATGCCTACTAAAAGATTATTTTCTGGAAATTGCTATTGCTATTTCATTTAAGAGGGGTAAGAAGGAATTCGGCTTTTCATGAAAGACAATTAATTTTGTAAAATATTGTTTTCTACCTGATGAAATAGATACAAAATTAGAAAGTACTTTCACAAGGCTACCTTAATATAATATCGAACCTTAACTTTATTATTTTCAACTAGAGTAACATTACCTTTCAAAAAAACACCTAGATATAACATTGTAGATATACGACAACAGCATCCTTGTCTATAGTGCATAATTGGGTGTATACAACTCACATCAGCAACACCTACGGTAACATTGGGTCCGGATGATTGACCAGTTATTGTATATCCACAAAACAACATCTATTTTTGCAACATCATCTGATTACTATTTATAAAATGATGTCGGGAGTGGAGTTATCGAGGAGGTGCGACAGTCCCCTGCTAGGTCAGGACGAGCAGGGCCAGGCGAGCACGTGAGCTTTTCACCGGGGACCATTCATGAGCGAGGGCGGCGGCCTGCGCGCGCATCGATCGATACGGCGAGCGCGGGCGGCAGTGGCCATCCCGCCGCGCGACACTGTACACGCGCGTCTCGCCGATACGAACCGTCGAGCCCATGACCGCCCTCCACAGATGACGGAACCCGCCCGCGCCCAACTGCAACGCCGCACTAGCCCCGTGCTCCACACGATCGCACTCCGCACTCTGTCCCAGCGCGCGACGTCAAGGTACGACCACCGTAATCAATACCCCGCATGGTGCGACCCCGCCGGAGCTACCGCAACATCGAGACGAAGCACCTTACTTACCGTGGTAACGACAAAAAAAATTACAACGCACTATAAATGTGTTATAGAATTAGCTGGATTCGTACCAGCATAGGAACGATAGAATTTAATTTCATACAATGCAACAGTAAGGTCGGTGGTTGCATAAATAATAATACATTTTTGTACTTTCCGATAGCAAATTCAATGTTATCCTAAAAAAAAATTAAGTATTTTCTAAAAAATTATAAAAGGTACCTTTTCTTCTTTATGAAATGATGCTACAAATATTATACCATTTCAGAATATATGTATAATTATTGGAAGCACATTTCTACCAAACTGTACATTTTCATAGAATTCTATTCTAATGTGAGTGATAATATGATATGCACAACAAATCTAGTTAGTATTTGTAGTAAACCTACGAGAAATTGTGAAATCTAATTGTAATTATAAAAATATAATCTAATTATATAGGCATTCAGATACATCGGCAAGTAACAACTGACATTTTACGTGATAAACGATTCGAATGTATGTTACGAGTATACACCGTGTAAAGACAACGGCCGTCTCGTGTAGTGGTAAGTGACATGGTCACTACACAAGGGGGTCGCGGGTTCGAATCCCGCCAAGGGAAGATATTTGTATGATAAATATAAATGTCTTTTCCAGGGTTATGGATGTATATTAAATATGTGTATGTGTGTAAAAAATCTTATATTTATTTCCGTTATCTGGTACCTGTAACACAAGTTCTTTACGAACTTATCACGAAACCAGTTAACGTGGCGTGATAGTTAGTAAATATAAAAAAAAAAAACTTGTATGGAGCACTAATTTCGCAGGACTAGGATTCACTATCGTCTTAAACAGTGACATTGTACATAATTTTGGAGTAGAGCGACAAAAATTATGCTCTATCCAATCAAAATTTCACGATTAAGCCGAAATGAAACCATTATTCGTGGTAACTTTGGTAAATTCATGAATTCCCAAATCATTTCGGTCACCGTTTAATAATGCATTATTAAAAACCATTTTCCGCTTCTCCGAGTAACAACGGCTGTACTACTCGTGTTCGTTTCTATGTTTATTTTTTATATTTTTTTATATTTAAGAAACACTGCAAACATGAATGTAACTATACCGAGATCTTAGAACTTATATCTCAAAGTGGGCGGCGCATTTACTTTGTAGATGTCTATGGGCTCCAGTAACCACTTAACACCAGTGTGTGGGCTGTGAGCTCGTCCACCCATCTTAGCAATAAAAAATAAAAAAATGAATGTTCGATCATAAATTGAACCTGAAACAGCTCGTTGGAGAGCACGCTTTTAAGCTCAAGTTCCGTTAAAGTTAAATAGGACCATAAATTATATATTATACTCGTACAAGTATACTTTTAATATAAATGTGTTTTCGATTCGGTATATAGGAAATCTATTAAGCACTTTATAAAAAATTTCAACTTTCACCACATAATCGGATTGTTCAAACTTTTAAATGTAAACACTAGTACATACAGCTTTCTTTTTTCTATTTATTTTTGTTACTATGTTGACACATTGAATTTTGAATACAGCTTAGCAAGTTGGTCATTCGAAGACGTATTTCTAAGACAAGTGAAACGTAACCGTTACCTGTTTAGGATAGGTGGTGTAAGCCTGTACGATAAATCATTGGTTTCGGTTTGAAGGAAAAGATATACAATCAAAATCTATCACATGGAGTTTGACCTCGTGATGACTCGATCAAAGGTGGCATTGACGAAACAATGTCTTAGGCAGTAATTCTTTAGCAACAGTTCGAGGTAGTCTGTTCATCAGCAAAAAAAATATTGAAGAGAAACACATATATAAATACTCTACCAAGAATACCATCTGATATAGATGATTTTAAAAATATTATTTTAATAAAAAAGCATAAAGCATATAATACGCAGAATGTAGATATGTATAAGTGTTTTTAGAAATACTAATCACAATTATATAAATATTAACATTTTTTTTAAAAATAAATGTACAAATGTACTTAGTCTAACACTATCTTAATTCAATTCGTTTATAGCCGTTTCTTCCAAAACATTGAGTTATTTCATTAGTACTGTCTGATATCAGTAAAGTGCTTCTTGGTATCTCAAGTTAGGAACAAGTGACGGCCAGCTTAATCCAGCCTGCAGTGACTGGAATGCTCTGAATCACAACGAACAACGAATATAGTCGTCGTCGTGGCCTAAAGGATAAGACGTCCGGTGCATTCGTGTTGAGCGATGCACCGGTGTTCGAATCTCGCAGGCGGGTACCAATTTTTCTAATGAAATACGTACTCAACAAATGTTCACGATTGACTTCCACGGTGGAGGAATAACATCGTGTAATAAAAACCAAACCCGCAAAATTATAATTTGCGTAATCACTGGTGGTAGGATCTCTTGGGAGTCCGCACGGGTAGGTATCACCACCCTGCCTATTTCTGCCGTGAAGCAGTAATGCGTTTCGGATTGAAGGGCGGGGCCGCCGTTTTAACTATACTTGAGACCTTAGAACTTATATCTCAACGTGGGTGGCGCATTTACGTTGTACATGTTTATGGGCTCCAGTAACCACTTAAACACCAGATGAGCTGTGAACTCGTCCACCCATCTAAGCATTAAAAAAAAGAACAAGCCAAAAAAACGACCAAGTGCCCTACAGCTCAGTGCTATGTTTAAAATAGTATGTTTGCTATGTTTATATAGTCGTCGTGGCCTAACGGATAAGACGTCCGGTGCATTCGCGTTGAAGCGATGCACCGGTGTTCGAATCCCGCAGGCGGGTACCAATTTTTCTAATGAAATAAGTACTCAACAAATGTTCACGATTGACTTCCACGGTGAAGGAATAACATCGTGTAATAAAAATGAAACCCGCAAAATTATAATTTGCGTAATTCCTGGTGGTAGGACCTCTTGTGAGTCCGCGCGGGTGGGTACCACCACCCTGCCTACTTCTGCCGTGAATCAGTAATGCGTTTCGGTTTGAAGGGTGGGGCAGCCGTTGTAACTATACTGTGATCTTAGAACTTATAACTCAAGGTGGGTGGCGCATTTACGTTGTAGATGCCTATGGGCTCCAGTAACCACTTAACACCAGGTAGGCTGTCGCTCGTCCACCCATCTAAGCAAAAAAAAAGACAAGCAAAAAAACGGTGCTATGTTTAAAATAAACAAACTTTGATCAACACTACTATGGCAGAAATGTAATAATTAGTCCCCTTCTAACTTTTTGACTATCATCTGATTGTCCTCTCCCTTTAAATTAATGAATTTTTTAGGTATTTGTCCTTTTTAACTTATTCAACGATCCCTCACATCATATACGTGAACAACTTTGAAACTCTACCGTAAACATGTGAGGTCCATAATAAAAGCATCCTTTCAAATTAGCTTAAACTTCCTTGTTATTGTTGTCTATAACATACACTGAGGGTCCGGCTTTCTAAATAATTCATACAGAAGACACGCACTCATTTAACTTTCAATTTAATTATGTGTTAATTAGAAAATTTGTAAGGACCTTTTCATAAAAAACTAATTAGGACCTTTTGATAGAGACTAAAGTAAATAATTAGCATTTGCAACTGTCAATTCGGTAGGTACATTAACTGTAGTAGGGAATTTGTTTCTCTTATTTNGAGGGTCCGGCTTTCTAAATAATTCATACAGAAGACACGCACTCATTTAACTTTCAATTTAATTATGTGTTAATTAGAAAATTTGTAAGGACCTTTTCATAAAAAACTAATTAGGACCTTTTGATAGAGACTAAAGTAAATAATTAGCATTTGCAACTGTCAATTCGGTAGGTACATTAACTGTAGTAGGGAATTTGTTTCTCTTATTTTCTCTCTCTCTTCTTCAACCCATGTCTACCCAATGCTGAGTGTAGATCTCTTGGAATGCACCCATTCTTTTCGGTCTCTTGCATTTCGCATCCAGTCCACGCCAACCACTTTGACCAGGTCATCGGTCTACCGCGTTGGCTGTCTGCCCACGATACGACGTTCAGTACGAGGTCTCCACTCCAGTATGTTTGTGCCCCACTGATTGTCAGTGCAACAGCGGGAACCCCCCTACTCTGACCGGGTTCTAACCCCGGACGGATATCGGACGTCGGGTATAAGAGTTCAGGGGAGTCCTCTCCTCTCCAGTATTTTTGTATTTTTGCGACGGCATGTGTGGCCATCCCACTTCCACTTTTTCCGAGCAATCACTTTGGCTATGTAAATCAAACCAGTTCTTCTGCGGATTTCGTATTGCGCACTCTATCCCATATAAAAATGCCTAACATAGCCCGTTCCATGGCTCTTGGCGTGACTTGTATTTCGGTCATAATTTATTATTATTATATTCTTATTTTCCCAATGTACCAAATATGTTTTTCATTAGGTATAATTTATTTACACCTTTTAAAACCTTGGTATTCTTCGCTGTGTTCTCGGTAATTAAAACGACAAACGTATCACCTCATGGTACATTGATACCTACAACTTACTGTATGGTTGGAAATATTTTTATGGTAATACGTATATAAAATATTGTCAAATAAATGTGATATTATACAATCTGCAAGTGCATAAAAAACAACTATAGATTATACAAATTTTATGTAGGTCGCAATGTTGTCAGAACCGTAATCCATACATATAATTAAAATTGGAGTGTCTGTTTGTAATAATTTAAATAGCCTCTTTTTACTACATGCATATGAATATTCGATACGGTACGGTATATATACGGTACATACACCAAAATAACATTTTTTACAATTTTTGTCTGTCTGTCTGTCTGTCTGTTTGTTCCGGCTAATCTCTGGAACGGCTGGACCGATTTTGACGGGACTTTCACTGATAGGTAGCTGATGATATTTTTTTAGACTAGCTTCGCCCCGCGGCTTCACCCGCGGTACGACAATAACCGCGAGTAACATGGTCGATAATAAAATGTAATGTTTCCGAGGCGAAGCCAGGGCGGGTCGCTAGTATGTAATAAGTCTGTACCTATAAAGTTGCATTTTTACAATACTATTTGAAACGTAATTTATGTATGACTGGCAATAAATTCTAAATTCAAATGATTTTAATTATGAAAATATGAAAATCTATTTTTAAATTCAGTCATTTGTTTATTGATTAGTGTTCCTTTTATTTTTATTAATCAATAAACCTAGCACCACGACGTAAACAAGCACCTAGACAATGCCCCAAACGACAAACTACATCTAAAAATAATGGTCACTATTTAGTGGTCTAGTGCCGGCATAATTTATCGTAGCACCTTACAAAATGGCACCAACTTGACTGCGGATGTATACTACGAGGCACTGGACTGGACTGGACTCTAATCTAACTATGGACAACATAATTGTGGCACGAATGTCTCAATAATCGTCTCCATATCGCACCATGCTAGCACGGCCCAGTTTAATTCTAAATCTGCGGTCCAAAGTCTATCATTTAAACCAGTTAACAAGTTTGAATTTAATAATAGTACATCAATGCCAACGCAATGAACGTCATCCCATTAAATAAAATAAAAATTATGTACGTGATATGAACAATGAGATTATTGACCAAAATGTCTTCAAAATTACAAAAACAAAATTTTAATGTAACAATTTTGATAACCTATGATGATAATACTATCAATATTAGCTACCTACAAACAAAACTCGTATTTATTTAAAAAAAAATGTTGCAAACAAGAGAAAATAGCACTTAGCAGCCATGTCTTTGTTTATTTATTATTTTTTATTTACGATTTTATTCTATTTGATTCTTAAAAGGATTATTTTCTTCATCCTATTTTTGACGGTTATGACGTAGTGCCCAAGGAACTTTTGGGCGGGTAATTATAATGTCCGTTTCGTGATGCAGCGTAATTACGGCCTAGCAAAAGAAAATGGATTAAGACAAAGTAGTATAGGGAGGTCACACCTTTTTTGTAGAACTTAAGATCTTATAACTTGGACTTGGACATTGCATACAAAGTTCACAAAAAATGGACAAATTATGGTAAATAAAAATTGATTGAATAATTAACGAAAATTAAAAAATGTTTTCGAAAAATTTACAACGCCGGATATTAAATAGGACACAATCATGATTGCAAAACAACGTCTCTGATATAATTAAAGCTAAATACTAGCCGTGTTCTAGTTGTAATCTTATAACCCTCGAATTTGGCTTAAAGTTGGTTTATTCTGATGAACTTTACCCCCGGTAATGCCCCCTTTTCTGAGAGAAAAAGGCTTTAACAGATAGAGGGAAAAGTGCTCCCGATAACCAACTGCTCCTATACTTGCTCTGGTCTTTATTTCCTATTGATCCAAAAGACATAGACGTAAAGTAAAAAAAACTATAACGTAAAAATCCAAGAATATTGTGATGGTTCCAGATGATCCATCAACAATGAGTCGCCGTGCGCGGCCGTGACATGGGAGCGCAGGCATGGGCTGGCGCGCCGTGCAACCGCCGCACATCGCCGCCGGCTTGCTCCTCCTGCTGCTTGTCAATCTACCAGGTAATATGTACTATCTACCAAGAATATTCAAATCTAGAATGTTCCAAGGAATTATGACGTTTATATAAATGTTAAACCAAAAATTAATTAAACACAACTTTGTAGTGACCTGCCATCAAGACCACCAAGATGCCGTGCACATCACGGCTATCCTCGGTGAAAGTGTCGTGTTCAACTGTCAGGTGGATTTTCCCGAAGATATCCCGGTGCCGTACGTGTTGCAGTGGGAGAAGAAGGTAGGCGAAACGGTACGACGGCCCACACTCCACTCTTTACAATACAACGCTGCTCATCTACCGTGTGTGTATTNTGTAGTGACCTGCCATCAAGACCACCAAGATGCCGTGCACATCACGGCTATCCTCGGTGAAAGTGTCGTGTTCAACTGTCAGGTGGATTTTCCCGAAGATATCCCGGTGCCGTACGTGTTGCAGTGGGAGAAGAAGGTAGGCGAAACGGTACGACGGCCCACACTCCACTCTTTACAATACAACGCTGCTCATCTACCGTGTGTGTATTTCTGTTCAATAGAGGATGGCTCGTCTCCGCGACGCGCCTGCTGACTGTAAAGTATATCTCGTGGTGTTGTCGACAACGACACCTCGTTTTGTCCCGCGGTAGTGGTAACGCGCGGGCACCGCGGGCCGGGGGCGAAGCCCCGCCGCCCTCGACCCTCGACTGCCTCTCGCACGCATTTTATGTTATCTGCCTCTTCTGCGTAATGGCTCGTGTGCGTACCGCGCTCGTCGACTGCGCGACTGGTCCCACTCTCTACACCACAGTTACAAAGGCCTTCATAACGAGTCCGAGAGAGCAGCAGATCTCCGTTAGATGACGAACATACACTTACACTGTCACTTTACATGGATGATACGATTTTTGTCTTACTTATAATTTCTTGGCGCACTTTGTAAATTATTGAGATTGCATCGGAAGCACAACCGCTTACACGGCTGACACGGGGCTCGCGCACCTCCTCGCGTACTGGCGGCGGATCTGTCTGTTTCTCTCTTCCTGTGGCTGTGGGCTTCCCCCACGCTCTCTCGCCAACTTGTAGATCGAGCTAGATGTATGTCGTATTTTAGGTGTGTTAAGCGTATATACTTTATTAGCATGATGTAGTATTTATTTATGCTTTAATTTAATTTTGCATGATATCAAATTTTAATTTGTCAAGTAAAGCAAGCATTTAATGTAATAAGTGAAAACGATGTGTTACCTCTCTAATAATATACCAAAAATAAATAATTACGTACTAACTGAGGGTAAAGTGTTAAAATCACAACGCCATAACCGTTTATTTTTCTTTTCGTTTATAATGTTATCGGTGTGCATGAATGTTTTGTGCGTATTAAGTTAATATAATAATTAAATGATGATTGTATCTTGTAACAGCGAGGAGCAGATACAGTTTTAGATTTTCTAGTGCTCTATAATTATTAACTTGAGCTAGTACAAGATGCATCTGTTGTGGCGGTACACTGTATATTCTATTCTGTTACTCGGTATACGCCAGAACGAGAACAGAACTAGAATTGATTGGTAGAAGTAGCGAAACGACCAATGCTCTGACCGATTGGTGTTTAGTTAAGTGGTAGTCGTTAAAATTAGCACCGATCTCGGCTCGGTGATTAATCGTTGTTTTGGGCGTGCGTAGGGACAGGACATCCCGATCTACATCTGGTACGAGAGCTATCCGACGCATAGCGGGGAGGGCTACGAAGGCAGAGTGTCCCGCGTCGCAACCGACTCACCGTACGGCGCCGCAAGCCTCAACCTCACCAACATTCGAGAATCGGATCAGGTAATAATTACAAGAGCATAAAAGAAAACCCACTTCGTATAGAAACGTGACTGTCGACGATTTGCTACCAGAAGGTTCTTAGTTACTTTGGTCACATTGCTCGGCGGCCACCAGACAACCTTGAAAGATTGATTGTGGTGGGCAAGGTAGAAAGGAAAAGACCCGCAGGCCTGCCACCAAACCGTTGTTCGGATCAGATAACTGCGCTCACTGGACTCTCTATTGCGAACGCCCTGAAAGAAGCCGAAAACGGAAGCAAATGGAAGCTGATGGTACAAAGAGCCACGAAGGGCTTTCAGGGACACGACTTTCAGCAATGAAGTATTCGACTAAGAAGAAGAAAAGAAAACCCATCAAATGTTTTTTAAATGTCTACTTTATCTGGGTTTTTTTTTCTAGGGTTGGTACGAGTGTAAAGTGGTTTTTCTCAACCGATCACCAAACCAGCATAAGAATGGTACATGGTTCCACTTGGACGTGCACGCGCCACCTCGCTTCTCCATCACACCGGAAGACATTATATACGTTAATTTAGGTACATTATTATTATTAACAACAATAATAATTACAATTCCATTTAAAAATGACTTAACAATACGCGAATTGTATTCATAGGCGATGCGATTATACTCAACTGCCAAGCAGAGGGAACACCAACTCCTGAAATACTATGGTATAAAGATGCAAACCCCGTCGAACCATCCGGTACTGTAGGTATATTTAACGATGGAACCGAACTGCGAATTAGTAACATTCGACACGAAGACATCGGTGATTACACGTGTATAGCGCGGAATGGAGAAGGTCAGGTATCTCACACGGCACGTGTCATTATCGCTGGTGGAGCTGTCATAACCGTAAGTTTAATTACGAATATTATTATTTAAATTGCATTTCAACGATTTGTTATGTTTAATGTATTTGTTTGACAACAGATGCCACCGACAAATCAAACTAAACTGGAAGGAGAGAAAGTCCAGTTTTCGTGTGAAGCGAAGGCTCTGCCCGGAAATGTGACTGTGAAGTGGTTTCGTGAGGGTGCACCTGTGGCCGAGGTGGCGGCCTTGGAAACAAGAGTCACCATACGCAGAGACGGAGCTCTTGTCATTAACCCTGTAGCTGCTGACGACTCCGGACAGTATTTGTGTGAAGTTTCTAATGGCATCGGAGACCCACAAAGCGCATCGGCCTACCTTAATGTTGAATGTAAGCACATCAGTTTCCAATCACAAAATAAAACTACAAAAACACATCTATCTATCTATATTTATAAAATGAATTGCTGTTCGTTAGTCTCGCTAAAACTCGAGAACGGCTGGACCGATTCGGCTAATTTTGGTCTTGAATTATTTGTAGAAGTCCAGAGAGGGTTTAAAAGGTAGACAAATATGAAAATTCTCGGAATCAAATAAAGTTTAGGTCTTTTATTTATCGATTGAGGCACTACGAAGTCTACTAAAAATAAATTTTCAAATAAACAATGCTATTTGTTCTCAGATCCGGCGAAAGTAACCTTTACACCCACAGTTCAGTATTTGCCCTTCCGTTTGGCCGGAGTGGTTCAATGTTACATAAAAGCCAATCCACCTCTGCAGTACGTTACTTGGACAAAAGACAAAAGATTATTGGAGCCTTATCAAACGAAGGACATTGTTATAATGAACAACGGATCATTGTTATTTACCAGAGTTAACCAAAATCACCAGGGCCGGTATACTTGCACTCCTTATAACGCTCAAGGAACCCAAGGTTCTTCTGGTAAGTAAATTAGATATAGAATACAGTGGCGTAACGAGGGGGGACAAGGGGGAGCATCATGCCCCGGGCGCTGCTCCCAAAGGGGGACCAAATGGTCCGCAAAACAAAAAAATTGCTGGATAATTTTTATTTTTATTAAAATTGATTAAAAAGGTATTGTGCCCTGGGCGCGTGCTAAGCTCGCTACACCACTGGTAGAATAGGGATAAGGAAACCTATTCAATGAAAGCTGTTTATTTTACAAATTCTCCTAGAAATGTTTTTAACGTTAATTACTTTATCTATTTCGCAGGTCCAATGGAAGTTCTAGTTCGGAAACCACCGGTGTTCACAGTGGAACCCGAACCATTATATCAGAGGAAGGTTAGTAAATAAAAAAGGTACATTTACTCGATTAAATTTGAACATTCAAAACACTTCATTAACTGAAATATCAGTTTAATTTTTTTTTCAATTGTAATAATTATAAATCATTTACCATAATTTTCGAGTCACGCAACGCGGAAAATCATTTTTGAAATGTTAATTTAATAAACACACTAGCTCACGGCCCATCTAATATACCTGTCACCAGAAAAGTTAGGCATCTAATACTACCTGTAACTTAGGCACCAAAAAGTGAATGGTGCATGCAATACAATGATTATCTTCGAATCTAATTGCTGTTCCTATTTGATCACCACAGTATACTAACTACCAGCACTCTTACTATGCGCTGCATATCTTTTTTTTATTTAGGTGGGTGAATCTGTAGAGATGCACTGCGAAGCACAAGAGTCTGAAGGCACACAGCGACCGAGCGTGACGTGGCGGCGGCGTGACGGTCTACCGCTTCAGAAGAACAGAGTCCGAGCTGTGGGCGGAAACATCACCATCGATACACTGCGCCGACAAGACTTTGGTATCTACCAATGTGTCGCGTCCAATGAGGTCAGCGTTAACGAAATGAAATAAAATGGGTTTATTTCAGGCAACTTAAGCCCTTAATATTTCACAATAAAATATTAATAAATAAAAACGAATTTTTTTACAGCTAACCCACCTGGTGTTAAGTGGTTACTGGAGCCCATAGACATCCACAACGTAAATGCGCCACCCACCTTGAGATATAAGTTCTAAGGTCTCAAGTATAGTTACAACGGCTGCCCCTCCCTTCAAACCGAAACGCATTACTGCTTCACGGCAGAAACAGACAGGGTGGGGGTACCCACCCGCGCGGACTCACAAGAGGTCCTACCACCAGTAATAATTTTTTTAGTAGTAGAATTTAAGCGATTTGTTGGCAATCTCATTGTAGGTGGCAACAATCGTAGCGGACACGCAATTAGTGATAGAAGGCACGCAACCCCATGCTCCGTACAATGTGTCTGGAACAGCTACTGAGTTCCAAGTAACTTTGCGGTGGCAACCAGGATACGCCGGAGGTCCTGACTACAAACAGGACTATACGATATGGTACAGGGAAGCTGGATTTTCTGAGTGGACCAAAGTTCCCGTGACGCCCCCTGGTGCTACATCTGTGAGTTAACATAGATAGATACAAAAAAAGACATAATGAATTAATCTATTTTTTAATGTCATTATCTGGTATCATTAGCAGTGAGCGGGTCTCTTCCACGTAGGTCGTTTTGTTAAAAAAGTAACCACCATCCACCACCTCAAACGACCCTCCATATTAAATCTCTACTATCACAGAACTTGTTTCTAGGCTAAAATAGCATGGATATATAGTGCGCTTGCCTACATGGTAACTACTCAAATTAATAAAATGTTATTCTATCTTCGTGTGCTTCATTTGTGGACATGAGCTGAGTGATTTTTTCATTCATTCATTCAATCGCAATAGAGATTGGTACTTTGCAATACGATTTGAAACAAAATCAGATCACTCGATAAATCGAACGCTAAACGCCTTAGCCTCATGTTTGAGCCAGGATTCTAGCATTAAATTTATTTTTAAATTTCTTAGGTAACAATTAACCGTCTACAACCTGGGACAACATACGAGTTTCAAGTAAATAGCAAGAATACTATAGGCGAAGGAATGATGAGTAAAGCAATTACAATAAGAACGCTCGGTGAGTGAACGAATATAATTGTACAAATTTATTTGCAGTTAATATAACTTTTGGTGTACTAACATTTATTTATGAATATTATTAACCTAATCGGACAGTGTTTGTTTTGTGGTGTTTGGGATTAACAAAAGCTTGTATTTTATAGATGTAGGTGCCAAGCCAAAGGTACCCACGACCGCCGCTGGTCCTATCGACGAAAAGATATTTCAAAACGCACCTGAAGGCTCCGGTACAATACTATTTACGTAACACATTAATTTTATGTAGCTTCGTATTTATTTTTAAACTATTTTTATTTATTTATGTGAGACGTTTTAAGCTTTAATCTTACTAACATTGCTAGCATCTGAACTAATCAGTAATATCGTAGTTGCTGTAAAGTTGTAAAGCTGTTATATTTGTATTTGCTTAAATTTTCGTTATTTTTAAACATTTCAACAGTCCCGTTTCCTGTAATTTCCAATAATTATGAACACATCTACAAATCATCTACCAAATGAAATTCAACTATAATAAGCTTTCTCGTCTAGATAAAATTTTACCTGTTTGTATAACATTAGAAAAGGTTATCAATTATTATTTTTATTTTTTAAGGCCCGAAACCAGGTCCCCCACGGAATCTGACAGTGACAGAGGTTCATAATGGATTCTTAATAACTTGGCAAGGACCTTTAGAACGTGCGCAGCTTGTTCAGTACTACACCATCAAGTACCGCACTGACGCGCAGTGGAAGACCCTCAACAGGGGCCAGATACGACCTGAAGAGACCAGTTATTTAGGTGAGAATTTTGTTATTACCATGTATGTTGTTGTGAGCGGCGGCTTCATGAGTTCCTCCGGTCATCATTCTCGTCAATCCCGTCGCTTACGACGAAGGGCTCGGCGAGTAAATTAACCCACAGACACAGCCCAGTGAGTTTTTCGCGGATTTTCTCAGTGGGTCACGTTTCCGATTCGGTGGTAGATTCTGCGAAGCACGGCTTTTGCTGGATTTCGTGTTAGCAACATCGTCAGGTTTGAGCCTCGTGAGCTTACCTACTAGCCCGGTGACGCTAATATGATCCCCTAGACCTTGAGTTTACTTAGGAAAAAAAAAAAGAGTTCCTAGACTTGCTGAAGTTTTTCAAAAATGACGATCACAACCCGCCCCCTGTCTCGTCTGGCTTCGCTAGGAACAAAATGACTTTCATATTTATTGAAACACGCAATCTTAAAGGCAGGTGGAACCTTCACGCTGCTTATGGTAAATCTGTTATTGCGTACGCACATAAACGCATGATAACATATATTTTTTGGATGACTCTCTGATTCTTATCTTGCCCGAAATCGGCATCAATATCGTGTCTTCGGTTTCGGGAGCGGTTCCTTTTTACCCGTGGTATTTTAAAGGAAGTAAGTTGAGTTTTAATGAAAATAATGAGCATATTATCATGAATCAACGAACAAAAATTATTAAATCACATGTTTCAAAAGGGCGGATAAAAATCGTCATTAATAAGGCACAGTGTGGGTGTAATTTTAAGCACTGACCCGTTGTGTCTCGCATTCCAGTTAAGAACTTAGTCGGCGGGCGTACTTATTATTTTCGAGTACTCGCGAACTCGGCGACCAGCTACGAGAGCTCGGACGAAGTGAGGTTCCCGGTGCCGGCGCGCGTGAAACACAAAGCGATCACGGCTGGTGTCGTGGGTGGGATTCTGTTCTTCATCGTCGCCATCATACTGTCCGTGTGTGCCGTCAAGATATGTAACAAGCGTAAACGGCGTAAGCAGGAGAAAGGTGAGGCCAACACGCGCGGCGGCCGCTCGCCCGCTCCCGGACATTTCCCATTCACGGACTGTTTCTTTAATTAAAAAAAATGTAAATAAAAAAAATAAAAAAAGCTAGATAAATTGATGCATTTTACATACAATATCATTTAAAATTGAAGACGAGGCCGTAAATGTGGATACTACAGTACATATCGAACGATAAAACAATAGTAATGTTTGAAAATTTTTCTGTCAAGTTTGAAGATATTTCAATCAAAAATGCCCCAACCTTAAAACTAAATGTTACGATCTGTAAAAGAACTAGCTTGTTCGATAAATAAATAATAATAACATTTGTACTGTTTGTTTAAAGATTTAAACCTTGTAGAGTGTTTTTTGTATCCTCAGTACATATCAGAAATTTTTTGTTTAAAATCAAAGATTTCAAGATTAAATCTACATGGATATAATAAGATATTTACGACACACATCAAAATAAATGCTGCACGTAGCGAACATCAAATTCAAGAAACAGTCCTGACTATATTGCAACTTAATTCCTCAATGTAGTTACCAGAGGCTATACCTTACCATATTGTCGATGACAAAGCAGAACAGCTTTTCATATTATCCTGTAGTATACTTAGTCATTGTCGTTTTGTGTTCATCTTTAGTTTTTAGTACGTTTAGTTTTTTAAAACATTTTAAAATATAAATATGTTTTTTTAAACATTGAGCACAAAGCGTCATAACGTAAAAAGCTAAGGAAAAATAGCTTGCATGTTTATTTTATTTTCCAACGCGCTTGCATGCTGTTCTGGTTAAAGATTTCTGCTTAGTTTAAGTTTATTTGGAAAATATCCTTGAAATATTAATAACATTTATTGATATAATAGCCCAATTACAATCCTTTTTAAACAAATACGGATAAGTTTCTGTTCTCATAACACATTTTAATGCTGTGTATTTTCACATCACCACTTCATCTGCTATTTTACTGTCATAATGATTAATGCACTGAAAAATAAATGAAAAACAATATTGTAAAACAAAAGACAACATACCTTTTAATCGAAGCAACATACAAACAAAATTAAGACTTTTTTTCTACATTCGTTTTGCTTCTGAATTATTTTAACCTAACATATTGCACGTCGGTTTTTAAATCAACAATAAAAACTTTACCCGAAATATATAGAAACTTTGAAAGTAATACTCACGTGGTTTTTTTTGTTATGACGACCGGACACCTGCACTTCGGATATCACATGTATCATCATTTTACATATTACATTGACATTTTTGAGTGCATGAAGGCTTAGAGTTGACAATATGGTGGGTGGTGGTGATGGATGTATAAGGATCTGGTGTCGGGTGGCGGGCGGCGGCCGCGATCTCCGGCGAAACGACGGACCGAGCTCTACACCGCGTTAATGCACAGAAATTATACGATTACAGCATACAACATGGTAGCGGCGCGACTCACAGACCTCCGCGCAGCTGACAGCACTCAAGTGCCTTTTAAAAAGTAAGTCGCTTTATTCAGAGAATAAATAACAAACGTCTATTTATATTGTCTACTAGCGACGCGCCCTCGCTTCGCTTCGGAAACATTCAATTTTATTATTGATAGCTGAGTCCCGTGATGTTACCCGCGGTTATTATCGTACCGCGAGTGAAGCCGCGGGGCGAAAATAGTCTAAAATAAAGTAGCCTAAGTTACTCCTTATATCATCAGCTACATATCAGTGAAAGTCCCGTCAAAATCGCTCCAGCCGTTTCAGAGATTAGCCGGAAAAAACAGACAGACAGACAAAAATTGTAAAAAATGTTATTTTGGTGTACCTATGTACCGTATATATATTCATATGCCTGTAGTAAAAAGAGGCTATTTCAATATTACAAACAGACACTCCAATTTTATTTATATATATAGATTATAATGTAAACTTATTAATCTTGCACATGCTGCTGACTTCGCAGGAAATCAGGTAGGTTTTTTTCTTTTGCCTAACTTCAGATTGAATGTTTAGGTCCAAATAGGTGGTTACAGTACAAACAGCGGCGCTTCTCAAACGTTGTCACCTAAAATATATATATACGACAATAACGGCATGTGCAATGTTTACTTCAATCATTGGAAACTTAATCCGATGATTTTTATGTGTTCAATGTCCATCTGGTTACATACTTGCATGATAAAGGTAAAAAATTATGTCATTAAAATGAAACATGAATGAAACAGACATTCTTATTAAAAAAATTGCTGTATGGACAGTTAAGCCCCGCTCCACCCAGTGTTAAGTAGATCACAACACGTGCCTCGCAACGTAATAAGAACAATGTGACTTACAGTACTCCTTGTTACAAAGCCAGCCATGAAAACAAAAGCTACAAATGTGCTTTACTTTATTACAGATTTAGTGAACGCGGAATATCGAGTTTAGTGCAGTGTTTGCGGTTTACTGCGAATTGGGTATGGCCGGCGTCGCGATGCGGAGGTGAGGCGCCGTACTGGATGCAGGCGCAGGTGTCGGCGCCCTCTGCGTCCCCCGCTCCCTCCCTCGCGCCCTCCGTCGCTCCCTCCCTCGCACCCTCGTCCTCCGATGACGGTGGATTCTTGCCGCGTCTACGCGCTCCTCTTCGCCCTTCTGCCGCACCACCTATGTTTCGTGCCTCGTCGCCGGCGCTGGCAATGCACTGGCCGCGGTGGCCGCCCTGGCCTCCTTGGGCGGCGGCCTGGACGCCATGGTCGCCTCTTCACGTTTCCGACCTCAGTTCGGTCCCGTTTCCGAGCTCAGCTGACGGATCGTTTCCGACCCCTCCGTCGCCTTTCCGTCTGCGATCCATTCGGCAAAGCGGTGAGCCTATTCGTGGCGTCATCGGTGGACTTGGGCGGCCGAGGGCCCGGCCGCAATCGAGACACGCCAGGCCTCGCACGGTCGTAGACGCGCCTCCACCTCCACACGAAGCTTCTCCCGAGAGTCGATCGTCGTCCAGTGGGTTTGGAAGCAAAAACGCGTCTTCAACTCAGCAGAACCGGAGCAGTCGGACCGGCAGCCTGGCGGAATGGCGACCACCGCCGTACCGACCTCCACCACCGGCGCCCCCGCCTCGGCCATGCTCAGGTGAGGCAGGGGATGCGGGCTCGGTGGACGTGCACTATGAGTGGGACCGCGCGACTCGCACCCCTACTCCTTCGACTCCGGAGCGCACACGTGCTCGACCAACGCGGGACGATGTAGAAGCACGTGTTCGAGCCATGAAAGAAGAGTTCCTGGAGTTCCGCAAGCGCCAGGCGTTGCGTCGGCGCTCACCGGAGCCGCTGTCGCCCCTGGGCTCGCTGGTCGCGCCCGCTCCCGCGCCCGCGCCCGCACCCGCTGAGACCGTCTGCTGATCGCCACCGGCTCTGCTGCTTCCCACCGTATCACATTTTAACTGACGCATGTTAATCGCTAGAAATCGAAACGAATATTTCCACTGATTTACAAATACGGATGTTAGGCGCTTCGTCCTCGGAACACATTCAGCAAGATGTAAATCGTTCGACGCGCTCCGAGAGTAGGACAATCGTGAATTAGCCACGATTTCATGCGTACTCAGTTTAAAGGTTGATGCATCCCACCACGGTCGCTACGATCCTAGTGGCCATTATTTTTAAATAGTTTAGGACCGACAGGTGAGTCGTAAATCGACTTTGACTTTAATACTTAACGTATGTTTAAAAGTGGATGCAGTGACGTTACGTCCACGTTGCCTGCTCGCCTTAACCGATAGTTGAATGCTCTATCTACGAATGAATGTCAATTATAATGTTGTACAACTTTTTACATCTGAAAGTCTGTAAACAATTTAGTGATCCATTATGTTTTAAAAGACCATCTACATAGGTACTCGTACGTCCTTCTCATTAAAACTAAAACCGTGCCTAAAATCTTAGTATAGGTATTTAGGTTTACCCTTGTTTGAATAAACAGAAGTGCTATAGAAAGGTGCCTATGATTAAAAAAAAAACATTTTGATATCGATCAATTGTGAATCGGTTAATCTTAATATTTAACAACGAACAATTAAAACTATAATTTCTATCGTCTGAGAAACTCGAACGTTTAGATGGGATGGGATATACATGGATTATTTATAGGGTTCCGGTATAGTTCGTCGGTACGGTTGCAAGTCCTGCGGGCAGCGCGGGCGGCGTGCACCTACACGCTTTAGGTATGAGCGGGGAGGCATCCACGACACCGCTCATACCAACATTATATTGTAGTTATTAACGTTAAATTACGAATAATGTTTAATGAACGAGTCTCAACAGCGGACGGTCACTGAGGGGGGACGCTTGCGAAACATATTAATGTTATTATTACTTTTAGTGTGTATATACAAATTCGGTATGGGACATTTTGATTGGGCTCCAGATCGTGACACGACAGCGCCTCGTCCCTGAGTGACCCCACTTGATAGAGCTCGAAAATAAATATACAATCAGAATAATCATTAAGTAGATCCTAGATATAATTTAGAATGATAATGTGATCGGATTTGTTTTTTACTTTATAATGGATTATAATTTTTGAAGTACAAATTTTATTATTATATTATTATTACTATTTTTATTTTAGTTTTTCATCTCAAGATATAATTTAAAAACTGTACATATGTAAAAACTTAGATATTATATTACATTCTTATTTATTTTATAAATTATTGTAATGGAAAAACTTATTGCAAACGCTTAAGGCATTGCACGCTGACGTTAGCCTACAAAAGACAAATCAATTGATAATAGTTTAATAATGAAAATTTTAATAATCTGGAACAATAGTTAGCTAACTGAATTCAATAAGAAATAATATAATATTTGATTATACATTTACATACGAGTGTCTACGTTTTATATGCATTTCCTGCTAGCGTGGCGTGTTAATGACCTGTGTACTTTGCATCATTAAAGTCAATTGTTTTATGCTGTACAAGTTTCGTATTGAATGTTAAGTTTTTTTCAACGTTATTACTTGGTTTAATTATTGTTGTATTGTAGAACTACAAAATTATATAAATTTGATTTAAAGCACGTGTACAGATTAATTTCACTTATATTTTTAGTCATTTTATAATTTCCACCTTTCGAATAAATAAGAACACGAGATTAATACGTACAAGTGCTTTTTAAATGATCGTGCACTCGTAAAATCCTCACAAAGTTCTATGTATCGATGTTATATTTCCCTAAATCCTTATTTACGTTCTTATCGGTTCCTGAAGCGATCCCACCTATACTATAGTTGACCAGTCAAAACACAAGACTGTTTAGTGTTACGTTTGTTAGTAGATTTATCAAAAAAAGTGCTAGAGAACTCATTAAAGTGCACGTTACACTTTTGTACTTATAATTTTGAAGGCAATACTTTTAATTCGAATATCAATGTTAAGGAACTTTTAAGAAGTAAGATTAAAAATGTACGCTTTAAAGAGATTGAGTAATTAACATAAACGATAGATAGGTATGGTAAGATGTAGTTAACGCGTGCATGTACTTACTGGAGTGACGCGCGGGAATAAGTACGCCTGCGTTCTCGACTGTTTTGAAAATGGATTTCTTTATTTTATGAACAATTCTAAAATCACAATACCTTGTCTTACACAATACAGTTTTAAGTAAGTCCTCTGGAAGTTTCCCTTAGTTTTAATGCCAAATAGTTGGTTGAGAGTGAGCTCTCTGAGCTCAGAAGTTATGAGCCAACGAACTGGATATTTTACTTGTAAAATTTGCAAGTAATTCTTCTTTTGCGGTAGATATTTTTAAACTGGATAGATAATAATTAGATTCGATAATAATGTGCAATAAAATTTACCGTAATTAAATACAACATAAATTATTATAATTATGCTCAAACTTTTTGACTGACCAACTGTAAAATATTAAAGGTTAAAACAATCGTATTACGATAATACGCCTAATTTCATAATTTGGTACGAATCAAAGAAAAAACTGTTCCGACTTTAAGGTTCATTTAAATTTAAGAAAACGTTTTCTGTGTACAGTAAATCTTAATTTTACGTCAAATACTGCAGCAAGCATATCAATCGAGAAGAGCATTTACAAACTCGTTTATGATTATCTCGTTTATCTACATTGGTATATGTACTTACTTACACATAAAATGGTATACCTAGTAGAAATCTTAATTGTAAATTAAAGTGGATTCGATTGCATCGCAAACACTGGGAGAGCACTGAACACAACATTTATTATTACGTAGCTGCTCTGCACAACTTTTAGTGCCTAGTTTGAGTAGGTTCTATCTCTGAATTTTATCGGAAATGTAACAAACAATATTGAATCGAACAGCATTACAACGTCGAAGACTTAAACTCAATTAAAATGTGCTGTCTAAGGTACATCGTAATTACTAATTATTTTGACAAATTTATAAGTACACTATACAATTCATAGAAGATGATAAAATATAGCTCAAACCATGTGATATCTAGTCTTTGCTTTATCGTTACAAAATAAACCTCAACGTTTTAATGCGTTCAAAAGGACGTATATACGTAATAGGACTGCATGCTCAGCAACGAATTCTTAAAAGGAGTCCTCCGTCTATATGGTCGGCCTGAGATATCAGTTTGCTTAGTGCGAGTTTTTTAACGTTCTCGATAGCGTAAAAGTTAGCTCATATTTGTATGGAATGGGATCGTTTGCCTACGTTTGCCGTCAGGGGCGCTGTTCTAACTGCATACAAAATTGGGTTAACTTTTACGCTATCGATAACGTAAAAAAACTCGCACTAAGCACAATGGTCGATGGTTTTCGGCGAACTTTAAATAATACATTACATCAAAAAATTTAATCCTATTAAGTACTTATTTTTCGTAACTTTACTAACGAAGCATTGTACCCGATGTCGGAGCATTTTTATTTTGTTTCAATGATTCATTTGAATGAAATGATTATAGCACCTTACGTATTATGTTCATTCGCGACTCGAACATAGCCTAATAAGATAATATCCAAATTAACTATTATGGACTAAAATGAAAAGATAGCAATATTTTAGAATAATGTAAATCGTATATCAGTTTGAATATAAGCAAAGTAATTAAATGAAAATTCTTGCACGACGGCAGTTATGTATTGCGATGAGAAGGCACTCGATATTAAAACGTAAGGCATTATGCACAATATCTCAGCACAATATGTAACAATAAAGTGTTTATATCCAACATTTTGATTAGCACTTTCGGATAATCGAATATACATTTGCCTTGTGAAACTGAAGTTGCTCGAGCAACGTTTTTGAATTGTGGTCTCTATTCTAATTTTTACACATAGAATATTTTTAGTTTATAAGTGTTGAGATCGTGTGTTTACTGTGTAAGCACGAAAGGTTCAATTCAAAAGAAAATACAATAACGTTGCTACGATAAAAATGTGGTATTATTTATTTTTAATGATCTCCTCTTTATTTGTTAATAACATTTTTTTTGTTATTCAGACCAAGTTTTAACAAAATGTCGAATTTATTATTGACGATCGATGGTATAGTACCATTTTAACTATTACAACATTGCTCAAAAAATGTGTGACGCCCTTCCAAAAACGATTAGTAGTCCATTCAAATGTTTGCATTTTTTAGAGGACTCAATTTTATTTTTGGGACAAGTGAAAAGAAGCTTAACCTCAAGTTTGTGGAGTAGCCGCCCTTGTCCCTTGGCCGCCATCTTGGAAAAAGAGGTGAAAACTCTTTTTCTCGATATCTCGGTAACTATGCGTCCTACAAAAAAATTGTAAAGTCATAATTTGTAGCAGATTGTTTTGCCTACAAATATGTTTATATAACTTTTCGAACTATTCGGTCCTTAAACTGTAACATTCCAATGGACTATAAAGCCTTCAGTCTGTCAAACGAATTATTAAAACTAATAGCCGTAACCCTTTGTCTCTTGATGGGGTGCAACAACACAGCAGTAGGTATACTTCGAAAAGTAACTGTCGACGAAAAGTAACGAGATGGCGCGGATGCCTACTATCTTATTCTGAACATGAATATTCTTAGGGTGACAAAGCGCATGTTATTCAGGCAGTGCCATCTAAGATTGGCTCTCAATGGCACTAATGACATGATAAACTGTAATGAAACTAATTTTACACCAAACAAAAACAGTAACAATTTTTTTACCTCATACCTCATTTAGTAAAGCTTTACAAATCACAATATAACTTACCATAACACTCGAGCTAGTTTGAAAGCTTTTTAAGAAATCCTAGAAAATTTAACAAATAAATAGATTCAATTTTAAGAATATTTAATTGAATATTTTCCCTAATAGTTTCGAGATCCAATAGTTATACGTTTTAAAAGGAAGCAACTGCCTACTGAAATTTCATTTTTGACAAAGACAGCTAATTATTACCTACGATAATTAAGAATCGTGCAATATGGAAATGATAATTGGTTCTTTCATACACTATTTTACTGCAGTTGACTCGACAACATGTGTACATCAAGACGTCTCAAACTTATCAAAGCCTTTACTTTTTTAGGTAAATATTTTAACATATTTAAAAGAAGAGAGTTTTGAAAACATTTTCAATCTTTAATCAAAATTACTAGAACACATTGAACAAGGTGGACAGTTTTTTTAATATGGTATATTTTCATTAATACGATGCTTAGTTTATCGATTTCAACTATTATTTACTTTGGAATTTAATAGAGAAGGTTCTTCCTGCCTGCTGAACTCTCAAAGGTTTTAGATTAAATAGGGAAACTAGGCCAGGTTTCACATTTTCTCAGTACCGGGATTACCTTCAGTGCCGCCCTGGGGCCACATGAAAAATGCCAGCCCTAAATATCTGCTTATCTATATCCTACTTAAATTGAGTAAAGGATCGAATACACGTATATAATGTATACTGCAAGAACAGTCACTAAAATAAATACCATTGCCTTGAGACATCAGAGTCGAAATCCGAACCCTGCTCGAATTTGGCGCCTACATATACCTACCTAATAGGAAACAGTTGTTTTAAAAAGGATATTAATTATAAAATCTATCAATTGGGAGCTACTTCAATGACAAGAAGAACAGGGGGGAAATACACAATTTGTTTGGATTTAATTCGGGACTAATGAGGGTAATGCACTTTTAATATAAATAGGTCAGTGATACCGGTACATTGTCCCCACCAGCCTCTGATTAATTTATTTTCTAATCTAAAACATTTCTACGGTTGTCATTTAGATAAATGATCTTATTACATAGTAAATAAAAATTAGGCTGAGGATCGATCTACATAAGTCGATGGGATCGGCGTACGACAGCAGACACGTTTTCTTTTCAAAAACAAATTTCTATAATGTAGAATACAAAATCACTAAATATCCATTTTTTTGTAGCGTCAATTATGATAGCCAACGCTCTTCCTTATGAAAACGAATACGGTCCAGAATATGGTGAGGAGTGGATAATGTTTCTAGATGACAATGGTAACACACACACATTAAATTTCTCTGTAATGCCAGTCGATAGTAGAGGTCTACTGTTCGGAAAGGTATACTTTCATCTGTACACAAGGTACCTACTTACTTCCAGTTTACTAAATTAACGCTAAATGGATTAAATACCTATAATACAAGAGCGCTTGGCTTTCATATTTTGTCACATCCTTCAAATTGAAATTCCAATTTTTACAGACGGAACAACGTCTCAGAATTACTTGTGCTTCCCGAAAACAATGAACAAATCAGTAGCGAATATTTCGATGCCACTAAATCATTGAAACTTTTAACGCATGGCTGGCTATCTAGTAGTGACTCGGAATGGCTTCAATACATCAAAAACTCACTACTACAGAGGGACGACTTCAACGTGATAGCGGTAGATTGGAGAGAGATATCTCGGAACAAAATATATCCTTGGCCTGCTTTCAGTACAAGATACGTTGGCAAACAAATAGCGAAGTTATTGCAGGCTCTTCGTAATTCGTATCGAGTCGACAGCAAAAGCATCCACCTCATAGGTCATAGTTTAGGTGCTCACGTCATGGGGTATGCAGGAATGTTTCACGAAGGAAACATCAGTCGCATCACTGGTATGAAGTTTATTTACCAACTCTCTCTTTACTGTGAAACTTAATCCATAATCTATCGTTTTAAGCATAGGTTTAGACCCAGCCCTACCACTTTTCGAAATACCACAACTGGGCCCTGATTTTCGCTTGGAAAAGAGTGATGCTGATTTCGTGGACATCATACACACCTGCGGTGGTATTTACGGCTACAGGAGGAGTCATGGTCACGCCGACTTTTATCCCAACGACGGTAGACCTAAGCAACCTGGATGCGATGGTATACAACCTATTATAGGTGAGTTTCATCATATCATTAGACATTTGATAGCTTTCGTCAAGGAGACATCTGGCGAAACCATAAGTCTTTGATGAGCTTGATTTCCATGCATATTGTGCCTGCACGGATAATTGTAACACACGATTAGTTTTATTACAAGATTCGACTACTCGACCTCACGCCGGAAGTTACCGACATTGTCGTTGTGATTTCTTTGGGCTCGGTAACCACTCAAATATTAGTAAGCATATCAATAACCTTCCAGTTTAAAAAAATGTTAAATCATGTGGCACCTAAATATTTCTGATTGACCACAGAAGGTTGCAGTCACGGCAGATCAACAGAATTCTATGGCGAATCTATAACTTCTAAAATTTCCTTCAATGCGTACCCGTGTGACAGTTGGAGAAATTATGAAAAAGGAGAATGCAAAGAGGATCCCACGTTGATGGGTCACGACGCGTCTGCCGCCCGTCACGGCGACTTCTATCTATACACAAACGATGAAAAACCTTATGCCAAAGCAGAAAAATAAATTTAACAGATTTAGCCGAGCGGTTTTGTAACAGAAGTGCAAATAACGTTCTCTGCAAAGAAGTTGTAGCTAAAATTTGTTAAAAGTAAAATAAAACGATTGAATACTAAAATACCGTATACATTTATTTTATTATAAAACAAATTAACAAAAATATTTTACATTTTTGCTACAAGAAATACCCTAAACAACAAATACTGTCCTCTTAAATTTGCTGAACATTTTTAAAATTCACTAGCACTACATACCGTTAGGGTAATAAGTATTACTTATCCTGCAAAGATAACATGAACAAGACAATTTATCACGAAGTAAGTTCGCAGAAACATGTACAAGACTAAGTAGATAAACTGTAATTAATATGAACTTGTAACTGTTTTTTATGACAATGACATTTGAATTTACCAGTCTTTTATATAATACAAAACTACGTCTATGAGTACAGTGAAATATTTTATATTATTAAACAATATTTTTAAGGCCAATTTTGTTTAGGTCACTAAAATTTTTACCTGAAATAAAAAATAATACTAATTAATAATTGTGAAAATTTTAGTATCTTCAATTTATTTTTCTAAATTTACTCAGATATAATTATTAATGCTTCATTATGAATCAGTCGGGAAAAGAAGACAAAAAAATAAGAATCATCACAGTAGCAATCTTGAATAAGCTTTTCTTTTTGAAAGTTTTGTCTCAAATGCGTCCATGGCCAATGATTAATTAAGACACCCGATGTGCACTGGAACCATACTGAGGTGCATATTGAACCATTTTTTAAAGTAAATACCAATATATCGGTACCCAAACATTCATAAACAACCTTAACAATGAAAGGTGTTATGGTGTAACGAAAATCAATCACGTAAATTTAGACTCCAACCTCGTATCATGGGAGGAGGCATTCACGTCGCGCTATCCACAGGCTCCGGCAGTCACTTAACACAAAGTTGGCCACAAACTCAACAAAAAGCTATAAACAGAGATCGTAGACAAAAATAATTTTGAAAATCTATCGATTGTTACGTTTACTTACACATTTTTTCAAGTTTTAACGACACCATCTGAAGCTAGTCCGCCGACATCAGAAACACTGCATACTGCAAAATCATTTGTCTGGTTATATTGGTGTTTAATTAACCAGTAGTTTAATTTAAAAAGGCATCGATTAAGCAAAGATTGCTATCGAGCAATCTTTGATTAATCGATGCCTCTTTAATACACATCGGTGTATTCGTATGACGAGAAAGAAAATAGGTAAATTTTCCGTTACACTTTTGCCGAAAGTAAATTAAAAACAATTTGTTATCATGATATATTAAACTATGTATTTTTTACTATTTCGGACGTTTCGTGAGTTTCGAATTTTAAGTCTTCATCGACTAAGAAAAATATTGCATTTACTACCCGATACTTATTCGTAAAGCAAATATATATTTATTATAACGTTTACGTATCTTCAAACTCAAGCTTAAATTAATAGACTGGAGGACAGCGCCCTGCCGTCAGTAATTACATAAATTCACGAATCTTGTAATAATTTATAATTAATGGTTCGCTATTAATTGAATTTTAAAAAAATACTCTATGTTCATTCGTTTTAATTAATGATACTAACTAGTATTTAAATTTGTAAATTTTTACATGAAAAATTAAAACTATATATTTACCTTTACGAGATCAATCACTTTTTTTCTTAATCAATGCCAAATCCAAAAACCACTGAAACGAAAAAAAAAAGACTATTAAAACAGTTATTTCAAATTGTTTTTTATTAAACAATTTGAGACGATGTATCTTGCAAAATGTTATGAATAAAATATGCAAAAACTAGTCATTTTAAATACTGGTCAACCGATTAACTGAGAAAGTTAATGAGGTAGGGTAAGGGCAGCATTAATGAGGTTGACTGAATAAGACGTGAAATGATAGTGTGAGAATCCATCAGATGTTCAGTCTCGTATTTTGCTGTGAATATAAGACAGCCAGCCTCTCACCTAATTATAAGATACTCCACTTAATTCTCTGATTTGCACCGAATACAGAATTTTGTATTGCTTTTACATTTAATTATGTATGTAGCTTCTTAAAATCCCTTCATCCATACATCAAGATCCGTCTTAGTTATGCAGTAGGTATAGATAAATTAATGTTGATATTTACCTGACAAGAAATCTAGGATCCACTAGCTAACTGTAAACTGAAACCTGAAAACATAATAAAAATATTTTAACAAATCATTAAAATTTCAATATTTGGTTCTTCCCTATAATATAATATATTCATTCAACTTCCAAAAACAATGTTAAAGGCACATAACTAAAAATCTTTCAGGTTCTATAGAAACTGTTTTCGTATGCGCCCATGGAATATAATAAAATTATGGACTGCATCAAATAAATGCAAACCACAAAGATAATGTTCATCAAGAGAGAAATTCAATACTGAATTTCGTTTGTTATTTATATAACTTAGACACGATAGTGCAAATATCTATTTGCTAATTTAAATCTTATAATTTTCAAGTAAGTGTGAAATGTTTTTTAACTTTATTGTACATTCAGTGCAATAACTATTTTAACTTTATAGCAAATGTTATAAACAAAGTGTAAGACAGTTTTTTTAGCCACAACGTCAAATTGTAGCAAGGATTAGCGAAGTTCTTGCAATTTAGTATTTCGTCTGTTGTAAAAGTTCAGGCTTAATTTATTGTCAGTTTATTATACCAAAATTTTAGGTTAGGTGGTCTTAAGGTTCCATAACATTTCTGAAAAAAATCTAAATTGTGAAATAGCGATACAATTTACGTAATATCGTAACTTTTTTTAAATGAATATATGTTATTTCCATTCAGCGAATTTATAAAAATATTGTTGAACTGATACGACCGATAACGTCTATGCTATGTAAATTAAGTTTAAATGAAGTTTTTTAGTTGAAGTTTAAAGTCGTCGTGGCGTAACGGATATGACGGCCGATGCATTTGTTGAGCGATGCACCGGTGTTCAAATCTCAGGCGGGTACCAATTTTTCTAATCAAATACGTACTCAACAAATGTTCACGACTGACTTCCACGGTGAAGGAATAACATCGTGTAATAAAAATGAAACCCGCAAAATTATAATTTGCGTAATTACTGGTGGTAGGACCTCTTGTGAGTCTGCGCGGGTGGGTACCACCACTCTGCCTATTTCTGCCGTGAAGCAGTAATGCGTTTCGGTTTGAAGGGTGGGGCAGCCGTTGTAACTATACTTGAGACCTTAGAACTTATATCTCAAGGTGGGTGGCGCATTTACGTTGTGGATGTCTATGGGCTCCAGTAACCACTTATAACCACTTAACACCAGGTGGGCTGTGAGCTCGTCCACCCATCTAAGAAATAAAAAATAAAGTTTTCTACGCATATAGAATATCAATAGTCCATTTTAATACATCACAATCGCAACCCCCTTTTTGTAAAACATTACATTACAGAAGGTTTATAAACTTTTATTCATAAAAAACACATTTCACGTCGAACACGAACTGTAGATATTCAATAAGTCGCTCGTGGTCTAGCGAAATCTAGCCCACATTGCAGGTTGTGCCCAGTTTGAATAGATAACGATGATCCTGCAAAGTGTCAACGGCTTGGATGGAGACAGCGGCTGTCTCTATCTGGTATTGCTGATGTCTATGAGCGACAGTAACTACTCATCATCAAATGGGCCGTATGTTCGTGTGCCTACAAAAGCAATAAAAATTCTTGTCTGTGTATACTTTTATTACATTCTAAGCTATCCGCAATTGCAGTATCCTCCCGTCAATAAATGCGCCTCTAAGCTGTCCCCAGATAGTTCTGCAGGGATCGCGATGGTCAGCCATACGAATGAGTTAAATAACCCTATCTATTGCTACTTCGTATGATTCATTTATTCAGGTCTAAATGGTAGGACAGCCGTTCTACTATTTAGACTTCCACCTCATTATCGACTTTCTGATGTCTATGATTTCAGGAAATCACTTAAAATTGTCTCGGCTGGCAGTAGACAGCAACGAAATCTGTAAGACAAATTAAACTTATTTATATATCACGCCAAAAAAAAACAAGCCCTCGCAGACTATTTGAATGCCGCTTTATCGCCTTCATTTGAATTCTCATGATAATATGGTTATTGTTAAGGATGCTGATGAGAGTAAATTAATACAATAAAATGAATCAATAAACTTAAAGCAACCAGATTACGGTCCCAGCCAAACTTACTCTAATTTAAATCTGTATATTATAAACTCTCACGTTGTCGATATTTGGTTTGAAATGTGGTATAGAAGACTTCTTGTTAAGATTCTTGTGCAGATTTCGCTGTTCTGAACCAATTTTTTGGGCAGGTATTTTAATTATTCACGATTTATTGCACAGCTTATGATTTTTGTTAACAATTGTATCGCTATTTCAAACAGCCGTATCAACGTCATAATGTATTTTCGTTTGATTCGGTAGGATTTAAGAACATTTCTTTATTATTTGGTAATAAGAAATGTGTATAAAACTTAATCTTAAATTAATAAAGTTTCAGTCAGTAAAATACTAAATAATATCAAGAAAACGTCGTTTTGAACAACTTACCACTCCTGAACAAGCCGCAGAAATTCAGATAAATTACGAAAACAGCCGTTCGACGACAACAAGCAGGGCTCGTTTTAACGCTGTGATGCCCGACACCAAGTTTCTTCAAATAACCGCTTTGAGATTCTTCTTTTTATGTCTAAATTCATGATCCTGGGTCTTATTAAGGTTGGGAGTTTATAATCAGAAGAACGTTCGACACAAAAATCCTAACAAACCCTATCTTATTCTATCACAGAGACAACATGTTTTTAGAAGACAAGACTTTTTTTTCAATCCATACCGTTTTACAAATACCAATCTGAAATGAAACCAAAATAGAATTTCCAAATAGTGAAAAGTCCAAGAAATTGTGACAGACCCAAAACGTTTCGAAAATATTACGACAGTGGCGAAAATTTTCATACGAATTTGTTTACTTAGGTTACAAAAAAAAGAGGTTT